CCCCCGGCCCCGTGCCCGCCGCGCGCGCGTTCCGCCGCACTAAGGTTCCTACCCCGCGTGCAACCGCCAGCGGTCCCCCCATGCCGCCTCGGTGTCACCGCTAAATCAGTCCCCCATGCTGCCTCGGTGCTACACACACAGATGTCCCCCCCGTGACGCACCGCCCGCTGTTTAGTTCCGCATGCAAGCAGTGCCCGCGGAGGGGCCCCCCCCGGTGCTCTGGGGCGGGGGGGGGGGTTATCGGGTCCAGCTGTGGGGGTGCGGGGGAATCTGACCCTGCTGTGGCGGTGGGGATCGTACCCAGCTGCGGGGCGGCACCCGCAGCCCCATTTAAGCCCGCCCGCAGCCCCTCACATGATGGGAGTGTGACTGGGGTCTGGGCACGAGGTGATGGCGCTGAGCAGAGCTCGACCGTCCCAGCCCCACGGGGAGAGCACCCGGCTGCTGCCCCAGGTAACGCCAGGGCCCCCACTCCCCTCCCACGGGCCCCCCTTCCCGTGTCCCCCACATCTCCCCCCAGCCCCTGGGTGCTGGCTCTGTGCTGCATCCCGCATCCCTGGGGGCCTCCACAGGGATGGATCTGGGGGTCCCTGTCGGGGCAGGGTCTCTGGGGTGCACCCCTGTGTCCAGACCCCCGTGAGAGCAGGGATGAGGTACCCTGGGGGGGGGGGACTCAGCAAGGGGGTGCAGGGTGACCCCAGGAGGCTGTGACAGTCTGGCTGTGGGACGGGGGCACACACGGACACTTTCTGGGGGCTGTGGGACAGGGGCATGTGGGGATGTTTCCGGGGGGCTGTGAGTGGCTCCTCTGTCCGTTCAGGTGTCCAGGCTGGTGGAGCTGCCCTACTCCTCCTGCTCCGATGACGATGCTGACGGTGTCTCACTGCCTGGGGACATGGCCGAGCAGGACCCCGGGTTATGGTGCCCTGTGCCCCCCAAACCCAGCACCTTCAGCCGCTGTGTGCGCTACCTGGCCTTCCTCTGGAACCTCCTCTTCCTCCTGCTGGGGCTGCTGCTCCTGGCCGTGGGGGTCTGGGGGCTGCTGGCCAAGGCTGCCCTGCCCGGGGGGGAGCATGGGGCACCCCTAGGCTCGGACCCCATGCTGCTCTTCGTGCTGGGGGGGCTGGGGGCCAGCGCCGTGTCCCTGGCCGGCTGCCTGGGCGCCCTCCGTGCCAGCCCCTGCCTGCTCCGCTTCTTCCTGGGGGCCCTGCTGGCTTTTGCGGGGCTGGAGGTGCTGGGGGGGCTCCTGGTGCTGCTGGCGCAGCGGCGGCTGCGGGATGGGCTGCGGGACCTGCTGCTGCTCTGCCTCCTGCGCTACCAGGAGGACCCCGACCTGCAGTTCCTGGTGGACGAGGTGCAGAGGAGCCTCCAGTGCTGCGGCCTCAGGTCCTACCACGACTGGGAGAGCAACCCGTGAGTGGGGGCTCTGGGGGTGAGCTGGGGGGAGACCATCCCCACCACGGGGCTGAAAACTACGGGGTGGAAAACCCACCCTGTTCATTATGGGGTCTGTGGTGGGGACTCGTGTTTGGGGTGGTGGGAGCCCCGGAACAATGCGGGAAAGAGAGGGATGAGCCAGGACCTGTGGCTGGTGTCCAGCTCTGTGTCTGGGGGGCATGGGGAGACCCCATCCCTGCCCCCCAAACGTGTGTGGACCCACATCTCCCCATGTTCCCCCCTACAGGTACTTCAACTGCAGCGCCCCGGGGGTGCAGGCGTGCGGCGTGCCGGCCTCGTGCTGCCAGGACCCTCTGGAGAGCGGCTCCGTGCCCAATGCCCAGTGTGGTTTCGGGGTGCTGGCGTTGGGGGCGGCGGCGGCGGGCGCCGCGGTGCATGTGGGGGGCTGCGGGGCCGCGCTGGGCGCGTGGCTGAGGGGCCAGGCCGGGGCCATCGCTGCCGGCGCCGCCGCCCTGGTGCTGGTGGAGGCCGTGGGTGCCCTCATGGCACTGAGGGTGCTCGGGGATGTGGCGGCTTTCCGGGCGTGGGGGTGACGGGTGGGGGATGCTGGGGGTTTGGGGATGTGTGGGGGGCTGGTCCAGCCCAAAATGGACCGTGTCAGAATCCTGAACCCATCCATGTCCTTGTTCATCCCGCTGGTGGAGGCTGTGGGAGGCTCCATGGCACTGAAGGGCACTCAGGGACATCGTGGCTTTCTGGGTGTGGGAGTGAGGGCGTCGGGGGGTTTGGGATATGTGGGGGGCTGGTCCAGCCTCAAATAAACCTTGTCAGATGCCTGAACACATCCGTGTCCTGTCCATCTCACCATCACCACCAGTGTGGCCTCTGAGGGTGCTGGGGGACATTGTAACTGGGTGGGGGACACACACTGGGGATTTAGGGATATATGGGGAGCTGGCCCAGCCCAAAATAAACCCTGCCATTCACCCAAACCCCACCTCTGTTTATCTCCCCATGCCGTGGGGAGACACTTTCCCCCCAACCCCCAGATGGTGACACGACTCCTGCACTTGTTTAGGGTTTCAGGATTTAATTTTTCCAAGCAGAGCCCCACTGTACAGATGGAGCAGCCTCTACCTACACAGCACTATGGGGCAGGTGACCCAGCCAGGCCTGTCCCAGTCCTAGATGATGCCGTACTGAGCCAGCTCGTGCAGCTCCAGGTGGCTGAAGGCCTCCCAGGGACAGATGACAGTGATGTCTGGGGGGAGGAGAGGACAGAGATTGTGGTGGGGTAACACCCCCCCAGTCCCTGACGCCCCGCTGCCAAAGAGGGGAAGGGACCCCCATACCTGTTCCCAGCCCTTCCATGCCCGGGATGTCATCACCGAACCTGCAGGGAGAGAGGGAGTGTCTGGCCTGACCCCCAGGCAGCCCCCCCACCACCCCAGGGCCTGTCCCCACTCACCCCTGCACCCCCTTTTTGGGGGGTTTGCTTTTGAACTGCCTCGTCTGCCTCTGCTTGAACTTGGGGGGTCCCTTGCGGGGGGTGGCGGGACCCCCGGTCACCCTCGTGGCCGATTTCACCTCCAGCTTGGGGGGCTCCAGGCTCATGGCTCTGGGGGGGGGCTGGCAGCCAGCCCCGGCTCACGGCGTTCCCTGCGGATCCGGCGCTGGCACGGGACAGCTGCTTGCACCTGCTGGAGGGGGAATGGGGGGCACCAGCTTCTCCTCCCACCCTGTGCCCCCATTCCCACCATTCTCCCTAATTGGCTCTGAGGAGCCCCCTCCCCTCAACACTGACTCAGCCCAGCTCATCCCGCTAATCCCCTTTCTCCAAAGGCAGAGAAGGGTGTCCTGGGGGGGGCACCAGACCTGCTGCCACCCACTGGGGCTGTTCCTTCATCCCGTGCACCACATTCCAGCATGGATCTGACCCCTGGGACCACCGATGGCACTGCCAGGACCCCCTCCCCACAGCTTACCCCAGGGTCTGTGCTGTGGTGGGCAGCAGTGTGGTTTAGGGGTGGTGGGCACCCCAGGCTGGGCAGGGGGAGCAGAGGATGGCCCACGAGCTCTATCCCTCCTCCAGGCACCGGGAGCAGGAATTCTGCAGCACAAGACCTGGCTCTGGCACAAGGGGCTCAGCCCCACTGCAGAGCTCAGGAGCTGGGCACAGGCCTGGGAAGAAGGATCCAACCCAGGGAGATGCCTGGATGTTCCTGAATGATGTTCCTGAATGCAGGAATAGCAGCAAAGCAACCCCAACCCCGTGTCCCATCCCATCCCAGGAACCCCCAACTCACACAGTCCCACGGTTCCCAAGGCCAGTGCTGCTCCCTCCGTCCCACAGCCCGGAGATGCTCTGGGGGGCTTTTCGGGAGGGAGATTTATCCTGCCCGGGGGTAATAGGATTATTTAGCTCCCTTCTCTCCCAAGGGGTAATCCGGTGTCCTTCCCCCGCCCTGGGTGGGGAGGGGATGTCGGGATTAGTGCCGGTGGGACAGGCTGTGCCCAGCCGGGCGGCAGATCCCACACAGGGCGATCCCACCTCCTCCCCTGGGGGATCCCCCCATTCCCCAAGAGATTCCCTCAGCGCCCCTCGCTCCCAGCAGGAGGGATGGGACCCCCATCCCAGTCTCCCTCCCGGCCCAGGTGGGGGTCCTGGCACAGGGGGTGCCCTCCCAGCACCATCCCTGCCAGTGCCACCACAGGACACAATCTGGCCAGAGAGGGTCGGGCAGCCCCTGCCCACGGCTGGTGTCGCTCCAAAGCTTCCCTAATCCAGCACTAAAGCAATTAAAAACGGAATAATCTCAGCACACTTTAATTGAACTTCAGCCCCCGCCACTAACTGCAATTAGTTGGGCTCCAGCAAATAGGATTAGAGGGGATCCAGGACTGTTTTCCATGGAGAACAAGCTACTTCCGTGGCAGAGAGCAGGGCCCGGCTGTTAATTTGGGTTCATTAGCGGGTGACACTCAAGGGCTTGGTGGGTCCTTGGGAAGCTCATCCTGGGATGATAGGGGGGTCCTCATGGCTGTGAGTCCCTCAGGATGGAGGGGAGGTGCCAAGTTTATGGGGTTTTAAGATAGAGGCAGAAGGAATCAAGGAAGAAAAGGCACCATGGAGAGCAGGATGTGACACCAGGGACAGTGTCCTTGACATGAGGCTGCTGCTTCCCACGTGCTTGGGGCCACACGCTGCCTCTCACGAGCCCTTCCCATGGAGAAGCCCCTAAGAGGCTTATGGGGAGGGGTCCAGCACAGCCCTCCCCACCAGGGCACGGCCAAGGTGCTTAAAATCCCCTCAAGGTGCTTAAATTCCATGCAGGAGCGTGAGGAGGAGGAGGAGGAGGGCTGGGTGTGAGGGGCCACCCAGCCTGCCCTTGGCAGGGATTTGCCATCCCAGGGGGGGTGAACAGCATCCAGCTCCCGGGAAATCCAGGGCTCAGGACAGGCCTGAGCTGCTGCCTGTCCCCAAGGGCAGGATCCTCTGTGGCGGGAGGTGACACGGCCTGGAGTGACACCCCTGGGATCCCGTGCTCAGCACACACCAACAAACACTATAAATGATCCCAGACCAGACCCCTCCACCCAGCCTGGAACAGCGGCCCTGGGGCTGTCCCCTGCCACTTTGGGGGACCTGGGGGGAGCTCAGTCCTTCTTGGAGCGCAGCCTGATCTCCATCCTGAGAATCATTTTGATGTTCTCGTCCTCCACGTGCTGCTCCACAGCCTCCAGGGCCCGGGCTCCCCCATCCCGGTGCCGCTCCAGCAGCTCCTCCACGTACCCCACCCACACGCAGTTGGGGCAGCCGGTCCCGCAGCAGTGTGTGGGTGGGGGGGGGACTGGGGGGTCTGCAGGGGGGACCCCACCATTGCCACCGGGGGTGTCTGTGCTGCTCTCCCTCCCTGGGGTGTCCGAGGAGCTGCTGCCCTTTCCTGGCGTGTCCGAGAGCTCCCGGAGGCTGGAGATGTTGGGGGGGTGGGGGTGCGGGGTCCCTTCTCTGGGCACCCCCCCGGCGCTGTTTGGGGGCTGCAAGAACAAGACCCCCCTCATTGCTGATGCCAGTCTGGGGGACACGGGGTGTGGGGGGGGCAGCCCTGGCTGCTGCACCCCCAACTCAGCCCCAGGACCCCTCTCCCACCACCAGCACCCCCCAGCAGCTCCCCCTGTCCCCCCTAAGCCCCCTCATATCTTCCCCCATAATCCCCAGACACACCCCCCCCCCCCCAGCATGCCCCTGGTCTTCCCACAGCCCCCCCGGCCAAACACCCTCTTGTCCCTCCTCAGTCCCTCGCTCACCCCCACGCCCCATTTCCCCCTTGTCCTCCCATTTCCCCCCAGCATCTTCTCCCCCCCTCAGCCCCCATCCCATCCCCAGCCCCTCCTGTGACCCCCCAGCACCACCGTGTCCCCCTACATCTCATCCCCAGCACCCCCTTGTCCCCCCCCGGACTCGCCGTGTCCCCTCCCGTCCCCAGCACCGCGTTGTCCCCCCGGGTCCCCCCTGTCCCTCCTATCCCCGCTCACCCCCCGGTGCGGCCCCGCCAGGCGCCGCGCCCGCCGCAGCAGCATCCGGCCCCGCCCCCTAAGCCCCCTCATATCTTCCCCCATAATCCCCAGAC